GCTGTACCCCTCTGCCTACCCCTCCTACTTGAACGGGCTGAGCAGCAGATGTCTTCACAGGTTTAACATTGAACTCCTTGAGAGAAACAGGAGTCGTTGTCCGGACCGATCCAATTTTCTTTCGCGCAACTGGTGGTGCGTAATCTCTTCCTCTGACCTGGTTACTCTTTGGTGTCAGACCACTAACTTTGCCTTTACTCGGACTGCTCTCAAATCTTTGCCTCAGGTCACCCACCTTTTTGTCAGAAGACACGGGTGTTCCACCACGGGCAGCTGTTCTCGCCGGAGAGTGCGGCTGAGAACTAGCACGCTCCTCTGTAGAAGGGGCTGCAAAGTATTTACTAGTGTTTATTTCTATTAAACTGTTCGATCTCAATTCCGTTTCAGGAGTGTCGTGTCTGGGCGCATCCCTGGGAACATGTGATCTGGTATTGTATGGGGTGGACACAGTCTCGTGAGTATCAGTTGACGGGTTAACACCGACAATCTTGTACACCCTGCCGGGTTCATCCGATGCTCGGCGTTGTGCCATTTCGTCACTGTTCGTGATCGGCCTCCTCTGCGGTTCACTTCTCACAGACGACTTATCATCATCGCTATGCGTGTCACCTCCACTCTCCTTGTTTCCGAACGTGCTACCAAGATCCAGTAAAATCCGAAGCTTTTCATCAAATGTCTTCGACATGCTGATGGCGCATTCATCACCCTCGTCGCTCGAAGTATCGCTGCTCTCTTCAGAGCCCAAAGATCTCCTAGCCAACCGGAGCTCTTCAGCATTTTCTCGTTTGGTTGGGATATCCAGACTAGCCGGTCTTCGAGCGGGTTCAAACTGTCTTAGTGTGCCAGACACCACACCTCTTCCTTTGACAACAGCCACCACTGTCTCATTAGACCTGGGCACTACTTCCCGAAGCGCTTCATTTGGTAGCGACATTGTCTTAACACTACCGTTTACTCGCGGCATTTCGCTTTGAGACGTCACAGGTAAACTGGCCACTTTATCTAGCTGAGGCTGAGGTGAAACGTGTAGTGAATCCAGCGACGGATTCTTGCTGCTATGGGCGCTACTGCTGCGGCTTGTACTGCTGCTGCTGAGCTGATCCATACTTTCAAACACTCCCTGATCTGAGATCTTTCGTTCACGTGGCGCATCACGTGGTGTTTCGTCGCTCCTTTCACTCGGCGGCGAAGTCACCTCTCTTTCTCCTTCACTTTGTCGCCTCTTCTCAGCCGCTTTCTTTTGCAGGTTTAGTTTTAATAACCTCCGACGAGTCTCCTCGCTGAAAGAAGAGAAGCTGGGCTTGGATGCATTGTCGTGCTCACTGGGCGAAGCACTGGGCAATGGTTCATCTGGAGACTTCCTCATCTCCGACTCCTGTGCTGATGAGAAATTCACTTCCAAAGGATAGAAAGGCTGCTCAGGGGTACTGGGACTAGCGGACCTCTTCTGAGGATTAACACGTCGATACGACGGAGGGGGAGGGTGTGAGTAGGAATACGCCTTTAAGGATCCTGCTCCTTTAGGCCTGAACTCTGCATCTGAGGGATCTAGCACCATTTGTATGGAGGAAGAAGAACTCTCTACACCCCTCTTGCCACCAAGTTTCGATCTCTCCATGGTCGGTGAATTGGACCTTGACCCCTCACCTGTAAGAATCTTCACCGCAGGAGCTCTCTCAGTCGGCGGTGAGCCCTCGGAACCCTGAGAATCGGAGAGCGGTCCATCGGAAGAGCTTCCCTGACCCGAGTCGGACTTTGAGGTCTTTCCGCTTCGGAACTTGGGGATGTGAAGAGAAATTCCGCTAGACTAGAAGAAAAACGAAATAAAACTTAAAATTATACCTCTTAAGGAATAAGTAACGGCTGTTATTACAGTTGAGTCTGCGGTCAAATATCCTTTTGTATAAAAGGAATAAGACCGAGCGTCGACAAAAGCAGAATTGACCCTTGCACATCATTTCCTTGCACCTCATTACCGTAAAAGCGTTCCCAAAGCGCGAGGCCACGTTGCCTTAAAGTGTTGCACGCAAAGTTGTGAGCGTATGTCCAGGGGGGACATTTACACTAGTACGGTGATCGTTGGCAGTGATCCATTTGTAAGTGTGATATACCGTGTGCTGCTTCTAATAAGACTCTGCTGTGCCTGATTCAAATATTTCACTCAGCAACAAGAAAGAGCTCCGTGAAAGCTTACTTAGGCTACAAGCATTCCCTTACTGACATAATATAGCCGAGAGAAAACTACGCGAGAGTCTTAAGCACGCCTCGCTCCAAGTTTTCATGCGGCCATTTCTTCCTTCTCCTTGTTTGTTTTATGTTTTGTTGGTTCGTTTTTTGGCCTCCCTCTCCCAAGTCTGAACGAAATAAAGCAAAAGAGGGCCCACCCGAAGTCTACGAAAGCTTGTCGTCATCAAAAGTGGACAGTAAGATCTACTTTAAACGGCACAACTCTTCAGTATCTACAGTTCTTACCTTAGGCTTGTATGACCCATCTTCGCCTAACACATAAAATAAAAATAAATTAAAATAATGCACGTATTCTTTTAGCTCTTCACACATTCCTCCCTCGCTCAGCTAATCAAGCAATAAGTCCTCTCTTGCCTTGTCACGCATTCTTTCTTCCATAAAAAGAAGAGATTTGAAATAGTTCAAATGGGAGAGTAATACAATTCCAAGGAGTAACTGAATTACTATTAAACTCACGGCTTCTTTCGTTTGAGACCAGATAACAGAGTTACGCATGACGTTTACGGCAAACGGCCAACGTAAAACGTCCGTCTTGAGCTTAGAGTAAAAAAGTATTTGTATTTGCAGTGAATGGTAAGAGAAGTTTTTCTATCTTTGTGTGATTAATTCAAGGATTAGAAGAAAAGTACACAAAAACAGAAACAATCTTTGCCGTTTGCTTGAAACGTCATGCTTAACCTCTCTAATGATAATCACTCACCAAAGTTAACAGCAACCTGTCCAAGGGAGCTCAGTACATTCTGAGATAAAATGTGTTCATGAGGTAACTCTTGACTTGTTGGTATTGCCTACCAACAAAACAGTACACACAAAAGTCGTGTAAGTAACTTGCACATAAATGCTTTCCTTTTTGTGTGGGATGCCTATGGTATCCCACACTACTGTCATCGGCTCGTGTCCGTTAATGCGAATAAGGTATCCCACACATGTAGCATTTGGGTACCTATTTTTTTGACGGGCGGGGGAATAGTAGACTTGATTTCCCCCGCTCTCTCGGGTCAAGTAGAATTCCTCCCAGAGAAGGGGAGCGGGAGTGGGCGGGGGGCGGGGGAAGTGGGCGGGGGGGTGTGTCCGCGCTAATTTCCCGAAAAAGCTGCTGGTAATCGATCCCTGGGGGAAAGGTGCTTCTCTACTAGAGCGATGGTCAATTTTATTTGCTGTATATTCATGGCCTGCAGATATAATGGCCACTGCCACATTGTCACATCGCCACATTTTCATCAAATAATAGTTAGCATATCTGAACTTGCAAATTACAATTGCAAAAAGGTCACCGAATAACAGTGCGCTGGAAAACCTTCGCCTCGCACTGTTGAACAAAATCCTCCGCCTGAAAACATAAGCACGAGGCTAAGGTTTTCCAACGCATTGTTATTCAAATTTGGCGCCATGGTGGAGTCGTGCAGTAGAAGTTCACTTCTAACTGTAAACCATTTGCATTGATTTACTGGACTTTCTTCAAAACAAACAGGATTCTTGATATGCAAAATATGCTTCAACAGATGAAAATCACAAAAAGCAGATCATCAGTAGAAAGATTACCATACCTTCACTGGACACTCGTCGCCTTCAGTCTCCTCAAAAAACCAATCACACTGAAACAAAATGTAGCAGTGTTAAAAGGCGCCATAACATGCGCCCGCATAATGCCCTAATAAACAGCGGTACAGAGGCATGCAAGCAGATATCGGCATGCTGAGGCAGGCCTGTAGTTACAAGTCCAAACACCATTTGTTATTGGCTCACGAAACAATGCATAAATGATCCAAACAATGCACCTATCTCTTGAAACAAAAGAAGCTACAAGTTACCAGAAAAATTGAAAATACAGGTCTGGAAGTACTGTTTCAAAAACGAGTGCGAGGGTTTCATCAGGTTTCCAAACGAGAGAAAACATTTGAAACCACAAGGCTGCAGGCCGAGTGGTTTTATTGTTTTCGAGCGTTTGCAAACCTAATGAAACCCGAAACGCGAGTTTTTGAAATTACTTCTCCAACAAAGAAAATTAGTCTAAATTATCATTTGAAAAAGTTCTCTCAATTCAAATATTTTATTTGAGGACGTGAAAATGTGATTCTATCACCAAATTGCTGCTCCGAGACAATTTTGAATATTCATCAATGTCACGTTACCCAGCTGTTTGTCAGTTCTGAGCGACCAGGTTGCTTCGCAAAGCAAATGGCAGAGTGCAAATTTAGACCTCCTAAAACTCGCGAAGAGGAAGAAAAGTGTGTGGCCAGCGCTATTCCGAGGTAACGTGTGCGTCTAGTCTGTTAAATGCAGGGGCAGATAGCAAATTAGTACGCCTTAGAACTGGGAATTTCTAACGTTAGTGTCATTTTAGCAAGCAAGGTTGAAAGCGAACCAAAAGACAAGGTCGCCACCATTGAGCGAGAATTTAAATTTAGAAAAAGAATGGCCCTTTCTGTTTTGGGGAGTTTAATAACTGTACCGTTACATTTAACGTCAGCAGTAAATAATTTAGGTTTAAACCTTGCTTTGTAAAATGTGTGATTAAATAAAGTTGTTTATCGTCATGTGTTTTTCTTGCTTTGTCAATATGCAGATTAAGAAAATTTGCATCCGTGTTTGAAATTATNCGTGTATATATAAAGGTTGTATGTAATTTAGCGCACTGAATTTTTATATATCTCTACGGTCCCATTTCTTGGATATTTTCAGTTTTGCTCTCGTTTGAAAAAAGGACTTTGTAAGGGATGTCCATGTACCTCAAGAACCTAAAGCATAAGGAATATTTCGACTTTTGTACTGTTGATGAGTGATCTCGCCTAATTTCGAAATACTAGCCAGGCACGTATAACGTTTTGCGTAAATAGGAAGTGTCAATTAGAACTGGGAATTTCTAACCTTAGTGCCATTTTAGGTCGGAAGTGTACAGCAAGGTTGAAAGCGAACCAAAAGACGAGGTCACCACCATTGAGCGAGAATTTAAATTTAGAAAAAGAATGGCCCTTTCCGTTTTTGGGGAGTTTGATAACGGTACCGTTATATTTAACGTCAGCAGTAAATAATTTAGGATTAAAGTTTTTTTTTTTTGTAAAATGTGTGATTAAATAAAGTTGTATATCGTTATGTGTTTTTCTTGCTTTATCAATATGCAGATTAAGAAAATTTACATCCGTGTTTGAAATTATTTCAAACACGGCCGTGGTTTTCAACTCGTTTTTCATTGGGTTTCTAAACCCATCCACCTGACCAGAATAAGATGCACTGGTTGGGTAAGAGCTGCATGGATAATTAATGAATATGAAAATCCCCTTTCCATTTTTATCAGATGTTTTCAGCTGGTTTATCCGCATTTATGCTAACAAAAACTGTAAAGCTTGACGTAAACATACACCNCTGGCCGTATGCACGACCGCGATTATAACCATTTCATTATAGTCTTTTGTGCGCTGGGTTTATAAATAGTCGTCGCTCTCGGCATAAAGTTTTTTTTTTGCAAAATGTGTGATTAAATAAAGTTGTTTATCGTCATGTGTTTTTCTTGCTTTATCAATACGCAGATTAAGAAAATTTACATCCGTGTTTGAGATTATTTCAAACACGGCCGTGGTTTTCAACTCGTTTTTCATTGGGTTTCTAAACCCAACCACCTGACCAGAATAAGATGCACTGGTTGGGTAAGAGCTGCATTAATAATTAATGAGTTTGAGAATCTCATATAAAAATCCCCTGTCCACTTTTATCAGATGTTTTCAGCTGGTTTATCCGCATTTATGCTAACAAAAACTGTAAAGCTTGACGTAAACATAAACCTAGCTGCTGCTACACGCTTCGTTGACAAAAGGCATCTTCTACATCAGCTAAGGTTAGTCAAATATTGGGATTAAACGAAGGTATAGGGCCTACTCTGGGACCTAAAGTCGCCGTAACTTTAGGCGACTTTGGGCGATTTAAGGCGACTTTAGGCGACTTAAGAGAATTGGCAGAAAAAACATTGCGACTTTAGGCGATTTAAGGCGATTTTAGGCGACTTAAGGCGACCTAAGGCGATTTTAGGCGATTTAAGGTGTCTCCATAGGGTAATCATTTATGGCGTTGCAAGTGTTATGTTTTGAATGCTGGTTTTGCATTCGCTTTCACACCTAGTCCTCTCAAACGTATTACATATAATAAGCAATGATTAAATAGTATTTTTCTATCATCTCTGTTAAAATTTTGGGATTTAGTTATGAATTTTAAATGCCCAAACAAACGTATTTTTTACTGTTTTTATGGCTTTATTTGTGATTTTCATGAATTTCTTTCGGTGAAATCTTCGAAAATTTTTACATCACATAGCTTCCAGCGGGACCGAATTTTTAACACAAAAAAAGTAGGGTTTGTAAAGGCAGTTTTTTCGATATTTTCAAATTTATGTCTTTTACTGCTGCAAAAAATCTGGTGTTATAGATTTACCTGAAAAACGAGTTCCGACTAAAATAAAATGTTTACTACCAATCTGCCAAATTTAACGGAATTTCACCGAAGGAAACGCGAGAAAATTCACTGTCAGTTTTGCTTTTTGTGCTCATGTTGACGTAATAAA